AAAGCCTCTACTGACAGAAAAGTAGTGGCTGTTCTTGAGGTACATTGATTAGAATAAAATCCAGGTCTCCTGTAAGGAAGTGGTGAAATTCGATCAGTGAATGGCCTATATTAACAAAACAAATCTTTACCAAATTGAAGATTATGCAGATGCTGAGTCCCCAGGGTTAACGGAAGAGAAGTTGAGCATTACTTATCAGTTCTCTTAAAAGGAAGAAAAAATGTTTTAACTAAATAATTTCTAACTATTTTAAAGTTGACCCATTTATTTAATACAATAAATGACCAAATATATTTAGTCATAACAAGATTTGAACAAAGATCTCACTCGTACTTAGGTATTGGCAGCTGACTTTCTATGTAATGTATTTATTCATGCAATTATATGCACAGTTCTGTGGCCTAGATTGAGTAGTGTTGGCTGTCCAGGACTGTGGGTTCAGGAGATGAATGGGGTCTCTGACTGAGGACTGCCAGATATGTTTCCCTGAAAAAGAAAGCTAACTCAGAGCTCATAACTCTTTTTTTTTTTTTCCTTTTTAATTGCTAGGATAAACTATGGTAGCATAGTGGTTACGAATTGGGCTGCGAACCTTAAGGTCAACAGTTTGAGACTACAAGCTGTTCGCAGGAGAAAGATGAGGCTTTCTGCTCCCGTAAAGATTTACAGCCTCGAAAACCCTGTACAGGCTACTGTGAGTCGGAACCGACTCCAGGGCACACCACCAGGGTAAACAACTGCACACAGAATTACAATATAGGTATATTTTAAGATCCTGTATTTCATTTTAGAAGCCCTGGTCACATAGTGGATTATAAGTAAGGCTGCTAAACACAAATTACGTAGTTTGAATCTACCAGTTGCAGTGAGGGAGAAAGATGAAGGTTTATGTGCTCATGAAGATTTATAGCCTCTGAAACCCTATACAGGATCACTGTGAGTCAGAATTGACTTTAAGGCACACCATCACCACCACTATTTCCTTTAAAGGAAATCCTGGTGGCGTAATTGTTAAGCACTCAGCAGCTAATTGAAACAAACCTGTGTAACAACTCTACCAGCAATCTGATTCCCTAAAGATCACAGACTAGAAAAATCCTATGAAGCAATTCTGCTCTGTCACAAAGGGGTCACTATGAGTTGAAAACCAACTGGACAGCATTTAACAACATTCCCTGTAAGGTTCTTTTGGCATATGTGAGGTGTCCTGGAGTATGGAAGTAGAGGAAAGGGGAAAGAGTAAAGGATAAAAGTGTATTCAAAATAATTTGATTGAAAGTAACCTACTTTCTAAACTTTTAGTGCCACTGTTTGGGTCATTAATGTTTAGGTTCTTTTCACAGAATTTTTAGGTTTAGGTTCTTTCACTGGTTTGGAAAGGTGGGTAGGACTTGGAGATCTCAAAGCAAGCTTTCAAAGAGAATAGCCACCTACCTGCCTGACTCGGCCTACTGCCAGGGGAAACTTCAAAGAAAATTGAGTTTTAGGTAGGAGGCTGTATGCTTCAGTTTGTCAGGGTCAATCCCAGTTTGTGCTCAATGTTCTTGTGTAACTAATACAGACCCTGGGTGACATACACGGTTAAATGATTGGCTGCTAACTAAAAGTTTGGCAGTATAAAGCCATCTGCAGGCACTTTGAAAGAAAGGCCTGCTGAACCATTTCTGAAAAATCAGTCACTGAAAACCTTAGGGCACAAGCCTACTGTGATATCCATGGGTTTACCATGAATAGGATTTGATTTAGCAGCCATTGGCTAATGGGTTTGACGCTCAGATGAGCCAACGTCAGCCCGGTTAGAGGTCATGCAGGGTGGAAGACACCAGTGTGATGAATGGGAAGGAACAAGACTTCAGAATGAAGAGTGTTGAAGGAAGAATTATCTATGAGGCTAATTTCTGTTCAGGGTTTTCCTTAAAAGGCTTTTCTTTGAGTGCTTTCTGAACTGGCTTGCAAACTTTGTTCTGACACACTGGTCGTCATCAGTTTATTTTTCTTTGATGCAGCTTTTATGGGGCCAGTATGTCTCCGCATGCCTGGATTTCATTTGGGGCAATAGTGTTGCATGTGTGTGTGATTGGAGCCTGGACAGATTGGCTGTGAATGGGGTGATAAGAATAGGGAAAAGCACATACCAGTAGACCAAACTTCCTGTGCACAAGTCTTTGAATACTGCCTTTCACAGTGTGAAATAGCATTCGTCTTAAAGCTGGGATCATTTATTCTCTCTGGAGTTAAGCAACATCACTGGCAGCCACAGGAACTATTTTGGGAAGGAGATGTGGGAGGAATTTTGGTGTGTGTTCAGACTCCACAAAGAATTATCTTTCATACTTTTGATTAGTACAGTTTTATGCTGTTTGGTGTAGTCCTTATGAATGGTATCAACAACTTTCAAATAACCCCAAATGTAATCAATGTCAAGGCTATGAATTTGTAAATATCAGTAAAGATTGAATTTGTTGTTGTTAAGTGCCATCTAGTCCTGACTCACAGCGACCCTATGTCACATTTCCAAGGAGCAACTGGTAAGTTTGCACCTCCGACCTTGCGGTTAGTAGTTCAGTGCTTATCCTATAGAGCCACACTAGGACTCCCAAGATTGACTTTGGATTTTTTAAATTAATTAGCTTAAATTGCAGAAAGGGCACTTGTTTTTGGAGACTTGCCTGTAATACAGATGCTTATTCCTGTACCCTCCTCACATGTGCCTCTGCAGATGGTGTGTTGTATACGTATTCTCGTGGGGACTTTTCTAGATCCGTTGCAAAAATTTAAAATAAGGCAATGAATGAATGCTGTGCCTTCTGCCTTCCCCTGTAAAACTGAAGTGGGTAGGGCTTGGCAGATGGTGGCAGTGACAGAGATAAATAAGTCCAGGCTCCTGGATGGACAGGATGCAGACAATCCCAGGATGAGAGTGTGCAGGTATGAGTGTTGGCCGTGGGAAGAGGCTGTGAAGACAAAGCTGCAGCTGATGTGCAGAAGACGTTCTGGCAGTGAAAGGGAGGTGGGGTTTATAGGATCCTTTTCATAGTGCTTTTGATCAAACTGTTG